CTGAGATCCGGCCACTGCACTCCAGCCCGGGCTACAGAGCAAGACTCCGTCTCAAAAAAAAAAAAAAGCAGTTATCTGAAGTTTAAAAGTTTGGCATCTTCCCAGCATAGCAGAAGGGAACCACTCAAGGGAATGGACATCTGTAAATGTGATGAAAAGGTCAGTAGAAAACTGTATCATTCATTCATTCCAGAAAACAAGCTAATACCCCATGGCCTGAACTTTGTTAGGCAGGCCCATCCATCTGGCATTCTCCAATCCTCATTTCCTGCAGCAGCCCAAACACATCACTGTTGCCCTTAAACTCTTCCCTTTTTTCAAGAATCAGTATTTGTCTCAACTCCCTAGAGAAAAACTTTTCCTTCTGTTCCTGTGAAAGAACTCCATTGCCAATCTCCTTTAAGAGACAATAGTTACAACTTCCTGAGCACTCTGTGCTTTACGCAGTTATCTCAAGTAATAAGTCTGACAACTCTATGAAATAAGTACTAATTTTATCTCCATTTTATAAATGACAAACCTGAGGTCCAGAGAGGTTAAGCAGTTTGTCCAAGGTCACACAGCTAGGAACTGACAGAGCTAAGATTAGAACTCAACTTGAGGCCTAGTTCCTGCTCTTGATCACGCATTATTATTATAAACCTGGCTCAGTATAAGCAGTGTGGTATGATTTGGATACCTACAGGGGGATTACAGCTCTCAAAGCTCTTATTGGTCATTTTTGTTGGAATAAATTGCTGAAAACAAGCCAAGTCTGATTCCTAGATGATATCATAACTTACATTTACTAATGAAAGTAATGGCTGGAGCCTGGAGCTCAGACCAGGTATCAGACTACAGAGTAAGGAGCTGTGAGTTTAGTATGAAATCTGACTTTCATACAACTCTTGCAGTCCTAAAATATGTATTGGTTGAGAACAAAGACAAGAATCAAATTAGAAAATATAAATTTCAGAATTTACTAGTTAACCTACTCATTATATTCATTAGATACAGAGCTCAGCATGTTAATGATTATACAGCTGCTGTATGATGGACACCTACTGTTTTATTATTTTATTTTTGAGGCAGGGTTCCGCTCTGTTGCCCGGACTGGAGTGCAATGGTGTCTTCGTGGCTTATTGCAATCTTGACCTTCCGGACTCAAACAATCCTCCCCACCTCAGCCTCCTGGGTAGCTGGGACTACAGGCATGGGCCACCACACCCAGCTAGTTTTTAAATTTTTTTGGCAATATAGGGTCTCACTATGCTACACAGGCTGGTCTCAAAACTCCTGGGCTCCAGCGATCCTCCCACCTTGGGCTCCCAAAATGCTGGGATTACAAGTGTGAGCCACCGTGCCTGGCAGCTTTTTACATAAATAGAAAAACAGAGAATCAGAAAAATGACCTCCCAGGGACAAGAGCAGGATTTGAACCCAAATCTGTCTGACTCCAGGGACAGGACAGTATCTGTCTACCTTGTGTCAGTGAGTTCAATGTATCAATGCCAAGTCAGAGAACACATCTTGAGTTTTGTGGTTTTTGAACTCATTGATTTTTTTTTTTTTTTTTTTTTTTTTTGAGACAGAGTTGCGCTCTGTCGCCCAGGCTGGAGTGCAGTGGCGTGATCTTGACTCTGCCTCCTGGGTTCACATGATTCTCCTGCCTCAGCCTCCCAAGTAGCTGGGACTATAGGTGCCCACCACCATGCCCGGCTAATTTTTTTGTATTTTTAGTAGAGACGGGGTTTCACCGTGTTAGCCAGGATGGTCTCGATCTCCTGACCTCAAGTGATCCACCCGCCTCGGCCTCCCAAAGTGCTGGGATTACAGGTGTGAGCCACTGCGCCCCACCAAACTCACTATTTTCTTTTGTGAAAAATAATTGCCTCTTTGAGTGCAGAGTGAATGTCAGAATTGTACATACAAATAAACTGAACAGTGATAGTGAAATTAACATTTGTATACTCACAGCTTTCAAAGAGTACTCAAAAACGGCCCACCTGATCTTGCCATTTTATCTTTGCATTTCTGATGAGATAGGAAGGCAGAGCAGGTATTATCATCCGTTTGGAAGTCCAGAGATGAGTAATTTGCTCAAAGACTGATGACTGCCCAGTGGCAGAGCTAGGATTAGACCTCGACGGCTGGTGATAATGCTTTTCTCACTAAGTAGCGCTACTGGCTGCAAACACATAGGTTCTTGTCTGTTTCACATAAATGTCCAGTGTCTTACCAGACTCCAGTGAAAGGCTGACAGAGTGAAGGAAGGAAGACTAAAGATAAGTGGCTAATGTGGGAAGTGAATGGCCTTTGATGCAGTCAGGCTCAGGTTCAAATCTTGGCTTCATTTCTTATGCTATGATTTGGACAGTTAACCTAAGTTCATTTTCTTCATCAGTCAAAATGGGAAACAACACTGATTCAATTAACATTTATTAAGAAACTCTAGTGTGTCAGATAAGCCGCTACTAGAAAGTCATAAAAGGCTGTTTGATACATTTTAATCAATACATTATTATTTTTTAGGCTAGTCACGGTGGCTCATGTCTAATTCCAGCACTTTGGGAGGCCAAGGAAGGAGAATCACTTGAGGCCAGGAATTTGAGACTAGCCTGGGTAACATACTGAGACTCCCATCTCTACAAAAAATTTTAAATATTAGCTGGGTGTGGTGGCACATGCCTGTAGTCCCAGCTACTTGGGAGGCTGAGGTGGGAGGATCACTTGAGCCTGGGCTGTCAAAGCTGCAGCGAGCTGAGATCACACCACTGAACTCCAACCTGGGTGACAGAGCAAGACCCTCTCTTAAAATATGTATTTTTTGGCCGGGCGCGGTGGCTCAAGCCTGTAATCCCAGCACTTTGGGAGGCCGAGATGGGCGGATCACGAGGTCAGGAGATCGAGACCATCCTGGCTAACACGGTGAAACCCCGTTTCTACTAAGAAATACAAAAAATAGCCGGGCGAGGTGGCAGCGCCTGTAGTCCCAGCTACTTGGGAGGCTGAGGCAGGAGAATGGCGTGAACCCGGGAGGCGGAGCTTGCAGTGAGCTGAGATCCGGCCACTGCACTCCAGCCTGGGTGACAGCGCGAGACTCCGTCTCAAAAAAAAAAAAAAAAAAAAAAGTATTTTTTTAGGACAGGTGCAGTGGCTCATGCCTATAATCGCAGCACTTTGGAAGGCTGAGGCGGGCAGATCACTTGAGGTCAGGAGTTCGAGACCAACCTAACCAACATGGCGAAACCCCGTGGTGGCGCATGCCTGTAATCCCAGCTACTTGAGAGGCTGAAGCAGGAGGTTCACTTGAACCCAGCAGGTAGAGGTTGCAGTGAGCCGAGATAGTGACACCACACTCCAGCCTAAGCAAGAGGGAGACTCCGTTTTTTGCCATTTTATCTTTACATTTTTGATGAGATAGGAAGGCAGAGCAGGTATTATCATCTGTTTGCAAGTCCAGAGATGAGTAACTTGCTTAAAGGCTGATGACTGCTCAGTGGCAGAGCTAGGATTAGACCTCGATGGCTGGTGATAATGCTTTTCTCACTAAGCAGCGCTACTGGCTGCAAAAAAAAATTTTTTTTTTCCCATAGGGACAGAGGATTTTGAATGTGGCCCTGGAGATAAATTTTTAAAAAATCTTTATTCACTACATATCTCTCAAAGGAACCAAATCTTTTTTTCTAATTAAAAAAATTATTTATTATTACTATTATTATTATTATTTTTTTGTAGCGGTGGGGTCTCAGAAGTTAACCAGGCTGGTCTTAAACTCCTGGGCTCGAGCCATCCTCCCACAAGTGTCCAAAAGTTCTGAGATTACAGGCATGAGTCACTGTGCCTGGCCAAAGGAACTAAATTTTGAAGAATGAAAGTTAGAGCAGGAGTCTAATGCAGAGGCCAGTGGAGGCCAGGCAAGAAGCGTATGGAAGCAACACAGGCGGGATAGGGAACCGCTAAGCCCTCGGCTGCACTTTACACTGCAAAACAGGGAGAGCCCCGTGCAGCCAGGTGAAGCAGGTGATTCTCTGTGGAGTCTCCCACATTTTAAATGTTGGAAATTTTTTAAAATTATAAAATATAGGGAAAAACAGTATCTCAGTTAAATCTTTCCTGTAGGCTGCCAGTTTCTCAAGTTAGTTCCAGAGGAAAAGGGGCATTTTAGTCACATGAAAATGGCAACTGCAAAGTCAAAACTTTGGGAAGATGAGCCTGGTCAGGGAGCTGCTACATGATTTGGTTTAGTTGGCACTTGGAGAGAAAGCTGGGAAAACACAAGTCAGGAGGCCAGAGAGCAACCTGTCAGGCCTGCGATGTGACAGTGGGGCCCTGAGTGCGCCAGTGCACATTATGACTGCTACTGAGTGAAGCAAATCCCTGCATCAAGGACCAGAGCATGGTGGCTCATGCCTGTAATCCCAACACTTTGAGAGGCACCCAGGAGGATCATTTGAGCCTAGGAGTTCAAGACCAGCCTGGGCAAGATGATGAGACCTGTCTCTATCTATCTATCTATCTATCTATCTATCTATCTATCTATCTATCTATCTATCTATCTATCTATCTATCTGTATGTATTTCCATATAGATATAGATGTATTTCTATATAGATATATACATATATATTCTATTTTATATGTATATATATTTCTATATAGTATATGTATTCTATATCTATATATATTCTATGTCTATATATATATTTTTTTCAGGACTAGAGCCCTGCCCTTTCTACTCTATCGGCACAAGGGTCCAGGCAAGAGGAGGGCCATTTCACCCTATCCCTGCGATTTTGCTATTCCACACATTAAATAGGAAAAGACTGGCAAAGGGGAATTGATAGTAAGTGGAATTTTATTTATTTATTTATTTATTTATGAATAATAAATGGTCAGGATGGTCTCAGTCTCCTGACCTTGTGATCCACCCACCTCGGCCTCCCAAAGTGCTGGGATTACAGGTGTGAGCCACTGCGCCTGGCCAGTAAGTGGAATTTATTTATAAAACAATGCAAATACTATTTGGAATTAGGAAGCATTTCCCATTTTTAATCATAAATTAATTAAAATTGCAAAAGTAGATTTACAGAGCCACAGGTAACAAAACAGGAAATGAAATATTCCAGAGACATTCTGAAAAGTTCGAAAGAAACACACACTAGCCTCAAAATCTCCGGTTAAACCATGGTTGCACAACAGGTTCTATTTATTCCTGCATTTTCTCAATAAGTTCTTCCTTATATTTGCCTTTCTCTTTTCCAACTTGTCGAGACTTGGCTTTGCGTTCAAGAATTTTTTTCCGATCCTTGTCCAGTTTTAGCCTGGTGATAACCACCTATTGGGAGTGAGAAAACAGATCTTTATTGCCACATCACCACCAGCTATTGAGCAATATAGATATCATAAGTAAGACCTCAGCCATTCAGCATTTTTTTTTTTTTTTTGAGACAGAGTCTCGCTGTGTCGCCCAGGCTGGAGTGCAGTGGCGTGATCTCAGCTCACTGCAAGCTCCGCCTCCTGGGTTTGCACTATTTTCCTGACTCAGCCTCCTGAGTAGCTGGGACTACAGGCGCCCGCCACCATGCCCGGCCAATTTTTTTGTATTTTTAGTAGAGACGGGGTTTCACCGTGTTAGGATGGTCTCCTGACCTCGTGATCTGCCCGCCTCGGCCTCCCAAAGTGCTGGGATTACAGGCATGAGCCACCGCACCCCGCCAGTCATTCAACTTTTAAGGAACTGAAACTCTGGAAGGAAAACAGATCCTATAACACAATATAAAATAGGAACACAAAGGAGAAGTAGCAGTGCCACTAGGTAGGCATAAGGGCTACAGGAAGATATATTCTCTCTTATCCCTCTGAATATTATACGTTGGAGGAAGTGATGCCTGGAACACTTGGAAGCCTCTTGCAACCAGCTTAGACAGCCATCAGCCGGGTGCAGTGGCTCACGCCTGTAATCCTAGCACTTTGGGAGGCCAAGGCAGGTGGATCACGAGATCAAGAGATCGAGACCATGCTGGCTAACATGGTGAAACCCCGTCTCTGCTAAAAACATAAAAATTAGCTGGGCGTGGTGGTGGGTGCCTGTAGTCCCAGCTACTCGGGAGGCTGAGGCAGGAGAATCACTTGTACCCAGGAGGTGGAGGTTGCAGTGAGCCGAGATCATGCCACTGCATTCCAGCCTGGCGACAGAGCGAGAGTCCGTCTCAGAAAAAAAAAAAAAGACACCATCACCAAGAAAGGCAAAATAGAAAAGAGAAGAAAAATCTGGATCCTTGATGATATCACAAAGCTACTGAATCAATCAAGTCCACGTGGCCTGCCTCAGCCACCTGTGCAGGGAGTACCGAACACCAATAACTTCTAACAATATGGACACACTCCATGGCTGCTATTGCCACTCAGTCCTTGACCATACCTTGCTCGGGTGAATGCCCACATGGACGGTTGTGCCGTTGGCCTTCTCACGCTGCACCCGCTCGATGTAGATGACATATTTCTTTCTGTACACCTGGACTACCTTGCCAATTTGCTGACCTTTGTAGTGTCCTCGAACTACCTAAGAGAAAATACAAAAGAGAATCCCCCTCCATTTGTAATGCATGATCATAATGAGGAAGCTAACCATCAGGAACACATGGGCTAAACATATAACTTTGCACAAAAGCAGCTTAATCCTGGCAGTCAAAAATTAGCTACTTTTCTGGTATAAATCTGTGTTGTGTTATGGCTGGGTGGAGATTTTTTTACCTGAATCCCACAGAAATGTGCAATATGAGCTTTAGAGAAAAAAGGAGAATACAAAACTACATATAGAATACACTCTGAACTATATGTATACACACGTCAAGTATCCCTTATTCGAAATGCTTGAGACCAGAAGTGTTTTGGATTTAGGGTTTTTGGGATTTTGGAATATCTGCATCACTAGCTAAGCACCACAAATCTGAAAATCTGAAATCCCAAAAGCTCCAAAGACCGCTTCCTTTGACCATCACATTGACACTCAAAGTTTCAGATTTTGGAGTATTCTGAATTTGAGATACTCAACCTGTTATGTGTGTATGTGTATATATATAATATATATTACATATGTGCACATGTATGTATATACATACATACATATATGTACACACACATACATATATATATACACACACACATTTCATATATATCGCATGACACAGTGGGATACAATATATATAAATATTGGTAACAGCTGCCATTAGGCAGGAAGTAGGATTATAGATGACTGTTTTTTAGATTTATATTCTTCTAAATTTCACAATTTCTACATTTATATAAATATTTTAAAGTCAGAAAAAAATTTAAAATCTCACGGACTGTTTTACTGTACTAAAAATCTACTCTATTAAAAAACCAACTAGGCCGGGCGCGGTGGCTCACGCCTGTAATCCCAGCACTTTGGGAGGCCGAGACGGGTGGATCACGAGGTCAGATCGAGACCATCCTGGCTAACACGGTGAAACCCCGTCTCTACTAAAAAATACAAAAAAAAAAAAAACTAGCCGAGCGAGGTGGCGGGCGCCTATAGTCCCAGCTACTCGGGAGGCTGAGGCAGGAGAATGGCGTGAACCCGGGAGGCGGAGCTTGCAGTGAGCTGAGATCCGGCCACTGCACTCCAGCCTGGGTGACAGAGCGAGACTCCGTCTCAAAAAAAAAAAAAAAAAAAAAAACCAACTAGATGAGGGTTTCCTTGGAAGCAGGAGCTTATTTTATTTTATTTTATTTTTGAGACAGAGTCTCGCTCTGTCCCCCAGGCTGGACTGTAATGGCATGATCTTGGCTCACTGCAACCTCCACCTCCCAGGTTCAAGTGATTCTCCTGCCTCGGCCTCCCAAGCAGCTGGGATTATAGGCACACGCCAGCAGTCCCGGCTAACTTTTGTATTTTTAGTAGAGATGGGGTTTCACCATATTGGCCAGGCTGGTCTCGAACTCCTGACCTCAAGTGATCCACCTGCCTCGGCCTCCCAAAGTGCTGGGATTACAGGTGTGAGCCACCATGCCCAGCTGCAAGAGCTTATTAAACACCATGCACAGGGGCCGGGCTGATCGACTGGACTGGAGAGGTGAGGATGAAGAGGGAAGGATGATACTCAGAGTCTGGCTTGGGCAACCAGGTAGATGGAAATGCCTTTGCCAGATGCAGGGAACATAGGGGAAGCCCCATATTTTAGGAGGAAATAGTTTAGTTTGGAACATGCTAAATTTGAGGCATCTGGGGACATTCTAATAGAGAATTCAGACACAGCTGGAATGCCAACTGGGCCAGCAATAGAGACGTGGGAGTCATCCACAGAGAGGCAATCAGAAGCTTCATTTTGCTCAAGGAGCTGATGCTATGAGAAAAGGGCAGAATATACACATGTGAGAAAAGCCAGCATTTTGGAAGAGCTTGTGAGAAATTAATGTGGCCAGAGAGAACGGGAAACCATGTAAGTGTGGTGTTACAGCAGCCAAGAGAAGAATGCCAAATTCTGCGGGACCATCAAGTACAGACAGGGTAAGGTATTTAACAGATCTGACAACAAGGTCATCACCAGTGGCTGTGGCTGGAATGCCTTCAGTGAGCGGTGGGATGGAAGCCATTTACAGTAAGGTGATGAGTGTACCAGGTGAGAAGGTGAAGGTGAGAAAAGACAGTCCAAAGGAGCTTGGCTCTGAAGATGAGAAGGGGATAGATGTTTGAGGGGGATGGAAAGCTAAGGGAACTTTTTTTATTTTTAAAGAAGGGAAAACATGATTGTGTCTAAATACTGATGGGAAGGAACAAGTATAGAGCAAGAGGGTAAAAGAAACTACAGAGAAAAAAGGGACCAAAAAAGCTCCAAGAGAAGAATGGAGCAGCACCCAGCGGCAGATGAATTAGGCTTAGGGAGAAATAGGGATATTTCTTTTTTTGTGTTTTTGAGACAGAGACTTGCTGTGTTACCCATGCTGGAGTACAGTGGTGTGATCTTGGCTCACTGCAACCCCCGCCTTCTGGGTTCAAGTGATATCTCATTGCCTCAGCCTCCCTTGTAGCTGGGATTACAGGCATGTGCCATCATGTCCAGCTAATTTTTGTATTTTTAGTAGAGACAGAATTTCGCCATGTTGGCCAGGCTGGTCTCGAACTCCTGGCCTCAAGTGATCCACCCGTCTTGGCCTCTCAAAGTGCTGAGATTACAGGCGTGAGCCACTGCACCAGGCCTGGGATGTTTCTTTTATTGTAACAGGAGGGAAAGAAAATAAGAGGGGCGGAACTACAGGTAAATGTGTAGGTGTGGAGCCAGGATTTCTTTTTTTTTTTTTTTTTTGAGATGGAGTCTCACTCTGTCGCCCAGGCTGGAGTGCAGTGGCGTAATCTTGGCTCTCTGCAACCTCCACCTCCTAGGTTAAAGCGATTCCCCTGCCTCAGCCTCCTGAGTAGTTGGGATTACAGGCGTGTTCCACCACACCTGGCTAATTTTTGTATTTCTAGTAGACACGGGGTTTCACCATGTTGGCCAGGCTGGTCTTGAACTGCTGACCTCAGATGATTCACCCACCTCAACCTCCCAAAGTGTTGGGATTACAGGTGTGAGCCACTGCGCCTGGCCATGATTTTAGATTTTATAAGCACATCAGGCACCACTGGTAAGCACCTGGCTAACTCCTCACTTTTCAGGTCTTCTCTTAAATTTATTAGCTCCTCAGAGAAGCCTTTTCAGGTCCTTTAATTAATATGGTAGCATCCTTTGTATTTTCTTCACAGCAATAAACACAATTTCAAATTGTTTTATTTTTAACTGAGGCATCATTTACATATAGTAAAATGCACAGGTCAGTTTTGGCAGATATAAAACTGCCAAAGGTTTTTTTTTTTTTTTTTTTGAGATGGAGTCTCGCTCGTCACCAAGGCTGGAATGCAGTGGCGCGATCTCAGCTCACTGCAAGCTCCACCTCCCGGGTTCATGCCATTCTCCTGCCTCAGTCTCCCAGGTAGTTGGGACTACAGGCGCCCGCCCCCACGCTCGGCTAATTTTTTTTTTTTTTTTTTTTTGAGACGGAGTCTCGCTGTGTTGCCCAGGCTGGAGTGCAGTGGCCGGATCTCAGCTCACTGCAAGCTCTGCCTCCCGGGTTTTTACGCCATTCTCCTGCCTCAGCCTCCCGAGTAGCCGGGACTACAGGCGCCCGCCACCTCGCCCGGCTAGTTTTTTGTATTTTTTAGTAGAGACGGGGTTTCACCGTGTTCGCCAGGATGGTCTCGAACTCCTGACCTCGTGATCCGCCCGTCTCGGCCTCCCAAAGTGCTGGGATTACAGGCTTGAGCCACCGCGCCCGGCCTTAATTTTTTATATTTTTAGTAGAGACGGGTTTTACCGTGTTAGCCAGGATGGTCTCAATCTCCTGACCTTGTGATCCACTCGCCTCGGTCTCCCAAAGTGCTGGGATTACAGGTGTGAGCCACTGTGCCTGGCCGTTTTTTTTTTTTTTTCTTTTTGAGACAGAGTCTCACTCTCACCCAGGCTGGAGTGCAATGGCACAATCTTGGTTCACTGCAACTTCTGCCTCCCGGGTTCAAGCGATTCTCATGCCTCAGCCTCCCAAGTAGCTGGGATTACAGGTGTGCACCACCACACCCGGCTAATTTTTTGTATTTTTAGCAGAGATGGAGTTTCACCATGTTTCCCAGGCTGGTCTCAAACTCCTGAGCTCAGGTGATCCACCTGCCTCGGCCTCCCAAACTGCTTGGATTACAGGCATGAGCCATCATGCCCAGCCTGTCAAAGGTTTTATACAGGACCTGATTTGCAAATAATACCACTCTGTGGAAAATGGACAAAGGTAAGAGAGGGAGCTGCAATGCTGCCTTGAACTGGACTGGAAATAGGTTCAAGACTTACTTTGGAGGTAGAATCAACAAGCCTTGATGGTGGATAACAAGAGGGGGTTAAGGAGCATTGTTAAAGATAACAAAGGTTTAGGGGCATATGCAACTGGGGAGATACAAATGGCACTTACTGGAGATGTGGAAGATGGGAGGAGAGTTGGATTCTGGAGGCAGAGGGTTTAGGATCAAGAGTACTCTTGGATAAGAAGCTTGAAATGTCAATGGGCTACCTAAATAGAGATGTTCTGTAGATAGTCAGACCTATAGGTCTGTGTTGTAGGTAGTCAGATGTACAGGTTGTCTAAAGTGGTCTGGGCTGGGATATAAAATTGGGAGTTGTTAGCACAGAGCAGATATTTAAAGCTCTAAGAATGGATTATTACCTATTCTCTACCTACATAGAGAACACAGAGCAGAAAGAGATGCTAGATACGTCCATTGGATTCAGTCACGAAGATGTTATTGGTGATCTATGCCAAAGTAGGTTCTATAATGCAGTGGGCACAGGGAATAGACTGAAGAGTATCCAAGAGTGAATGGGAGATGAGGAAGTGGAGACAGCTCTCTTGAGGAGGTTGGTTATGAATAGAGAACAGAGTAATAGCTGGAAGGAAATATGGGGCTAGGGAAGTGAATCCAAATTTTCCAGCTCTCTCTGAAAATCCAAGAATTTAACAATGGGCCTGCATTTCCCCCAGGCACCCACGGGCTAAAGGTAGATGATTATATCTTATATGTGAGGCTTGAGCTTTCCAGTTTGCCATTTTCTTTTCAGCTCACTTCCCTTATTTAGGGAAGTGAGAGCTATCCCTACCCATCCCCTATAAGTACTTGCAATTCCCCCATTCTAGAACATGTCTGATGGGAAGGATCCAGGGCAGAGGGGGTTGAAACTGCTGAACATACCTCTGAACTACTCTTTCCACTCTTCCTGTCACACTCCCAGCTTAACTCCACATTTTTTCCTCCTTAACATATCCCCAAACCTTCAAAGAGTCCCAGTGTCTCAGATGATACACCAGGCCTCATCACCTTATGTCATTTCATTCTTTAAGACAATAGTTCTTAACTGAGTGAGGGAAGAGTTGATTTTGCCCCCCAGGGAGCATTTGGCAATATCTGGAAATATTTTTGCTTGTCACAACTGTGAACGGAGGGAATGCCACTGGCATCTAGTGGGGAGAGGCCAGGGATGCTGCTAAACATTCTACAATGCACAGGAGAGCCCCTCACCACCCCCCGACAACAATTATCCAGTCCAAGATATCAATAGCACTGAGGCTAGGAAACCCTGCTCTAAAACATGACCTCCATGAGAACACGGGCCTTGTCAATCTTGTTCTAGAACAATGTCTGGTAAGTGCTCCATAAATACTCCTTTGAGGAATGAATCCAGCCCCTGCTTATTTCACTCATGGCCAGCTCCCTTCCCCCTTCATGCATTCTAAGCTCCCATCACAGAGAACAGAAGGCTTGCACGTTCTCACATGGGCCACTCTTTTAGAAATTATGAAAGAGTGACTCGCTGCATCTTGACCATTTCTCCTGCCAAATCCAATGCTATCACATGGCCAGCTCCCACAAATCCCTGTCCATCAATCCCACTACACCCAAATACACTAGAACACTACTCTCACTGCAACACTTTCCCCTACAAAGTCTGCTTCAACAAGCCACCTTGGGCAACAACACTTGGCAAACTAGCAGCCAGAAGTTTAAATCAAAAGCATTTTTGGCGGGGCACGGTGGCTCACACCTGTAATCCCAGTGCTTTGGGAGGCTGAGGTGGGAGGATCACTTGAGGTCAAGAGTTCCGAGACCAGCCTGGGCAACATAGCAAGACCCTATGTCTACAAAACAAACACAAAAGCAGGATTTTGCTTGGCTGACATACTGCTTTATTAAATTTTACTATAACTATTAAATAGTTAAATGCTCTAAAGCAACGCAGGCACTCTCTGGTGGCTCTGAACCCTATCTCTGGCCTAACACATCTGAAGGGTCACACTATTTGCCAGAGTCCTGAGGCACGTGAGTCTGTGACTGCTCCATGACCAAGAACACATGACGTTCTCAGGCAAAGGTGCCCGAGCGCCACTAGAGCCGGAGGGAGACGTACCTGGACCTCGTCGTCCTTGCGGATGGGCATGGAGCGGACATTGTACTTCTGCCGCAGCTCCTTGGAGAGCGGGGATGACATGATCTTCCTGCGCACGTGTGAGGGGGCATTGAAGTGACGTTTGCGGTTTTTGCTGCGGTCCGACGTCACGAAGGGATTGAACTTCATGGTGACCCTCTACAAAGGGCGGAGAGAGACGTAATGAAGGGGCGCTCAGTGGGTTACAGGGGCCTGTTCTCGACCCAAGACACTCCTCCTCATCCCCGCACAAAGGCTCTACGGGGGAGGTGACCTCTGAAAAGGCAACTAAGGGAGGAGAGAGAGATGCGAGTGGTCTATCACACAAAGTGGGACGTGTGGAGGTCGCATGCCTGACCAAAGGGGTCGTGGGGAGAGGGTGGCACTGGGACCTTGAGGCTAAGGAAGGAATACTAGGGTTAGGCAGGAATGAGTGGTCGGGAGATCACGCAAAGAGAGCTGTGGGATGACATGTGTCCCTACCACACATATGGCAGGGTCTAACAGGGCAGTGGGCTTCAGAGTCCGAGAAAACTCCAACCTCCACTCACCCGGCCACCACGGCCTCAGACCCTGAGTGCGCAGGACCGGAAATGAGTTTCCGTGCCGCGCAAGCACAGAAAGACATCGGAGCCCCATTTCCGTAAGAGCGAAGCAGAATGGCGCCCCATGCGGCTTGGGGTGGGATCGCAGTGTCTCGTTCCTAGGGTCCCCGGGAGCGCGATGCCAGTGAGAACAAGGGCCTACTTGTGTAGGGCCTGCAGTAGAGGCTTACGGGTGTTCTTTTAATAGGCACACCTGTCAGTAGTCTCTCACTACCGCAAACTCTCTTTGTCCCCGTTTTTCTCCGCGCAGGAGGCTGCAGAGGTCGTCTAGGCGTATATATTGTCTGGTGTTTTATTTATTTATTTATTTTATATTTTGAGATAGGGTTTCACTCTGTCACTCAGGCTGGGGTGCAGTGCTGCAAACACAGCTCACTGCAGCCTCAGCCTCCCGGGCTCAAGCAATCCTCCTGCCTCAGCCTCCCAAGTAGCTAGGACTACAGATGTAGGCCACCACACTTGGCTAATTTTTTATTTTTTTTGAGACAGCGTCTCACTCTGTCGCCCAGGCTGGAGTGCAGTGGTGTGATCTCGGCTCACTGAAAGCTCTGCCTCCTGGGTTCACGCCATTCTCCTGCCTCAGCCTCCCCAGCAGATGGGACTACAGGTGCCCGCCACCACACCCAGCTAATTTTTTGTATTTTTAGTAGAGACGGGGTTTCACCGTGTTAGCCAGATGGTCTCGATCTCCTGACCTTGTGATCCGCCCGCCTCGGCCTCCCAAAGTGCAGGGATTACGGGCGTGAGCCACCTCGCCCAGCTTGGCTAATTTTTTTATTTTTATTTTTTGCAGAGGTGGAGTTTCACTATGTTGCCCAGGCTGGTCTTGGACTCCTGGGTTCAAGTGATCCTCCTGCCTCAGCCTCCCAAAGTGATAAGATTACAGGCTTTAGTCACCATGCCCCGCCTGTCCCTTGTTTTAAACATCATGAGGCTCCAAATGCCATCTGTAGAGCGGCTTCTTCAGAATCACTGAGAAGCCTGTTCAAATTACAGATTTTCAGGCTCCACCACCGTCCCACAAAACCAGACAGTGGTAGGATGGGACACATCTGAATTTAAAGCAAGCATTCTTCCCCATCCCTACCCCCCAAGATTTTGAGGTGCGCTAATGCTTGAGGATTGTTGTGAATCAAACACCTGGCTCTGCAAAACTCCCCCCTAGTTGTTTGGCTCTGTTTGGAAGAGTGGGGTTGTAGAATCAGACTGGACCCAAGTGCCTCTTCGTTTGGCAGTCCTAAGAAAGGAAGTCATTTCCCATCGGCAACCCGGGAGCAGATGCTGGCCTGACGGTGCACACACAGAAAAGGTCAGAGGTTCTCCTCAGAACAATCCTTAGGTGTCAGTCAAACCCATGCCCTGCCCCAAGGAGTTCGTTCATTCCTTCACTTACTCACTGGTTCTGTTTATTCACTCACTTCTCTATTACATATCCATTTATTGTCATTCACCTACTTATTTACTCAGACATTCATTCATTTGCTCATCAATTTATTTGGTACCCACATGGACCAGGTACAAGGCTTGATTAAAGAGATCTGGGAAGGAGTGCTCCCAAGAAGTTAAGAGCCTCACTGGTAAAGGAAAGCCATGTGAAGATAGATCTTGTGAACCCAAGATCATCAAGGAGTATCCATGATCAAGCAGGGCAGGGAAGGATTTTTGTTTTGTTTTGTTTTGTTTTTAACATGCTGTGTGGTTCAGTAAAATTAAAATAGGCACAATGACATCCTGGATGACAAGAGCTGGAGGCTCTCATTCTAACTACATGATGTAGTGGGACTGGCTGGCTTGTCTCATGCCCACCCCTGGAAACATGCGCAGGAACTCAAGCGCCTAGCACAGAGGAAGTGTCTGGTGAGTACTTTTATTTCTCGGAGGGAGTGGCTGCATGGGGAGGTGCTTGAGCCCTGACACCCAAATTGCCTGGGCCATTGGATCTCCGCCATTTCCTGGCTCTTTGGCTTTGGAGAAGATATTCAGCCTTTTGGTCACTCACTTTATTCCCATCTGAGAAAATGGGAATAACAAAGTACTTACCTCATTGGTTTGGCGTCAGGAATTTTTTTTTTTTTTTTTTTTTTTTTTTTTTTTTTTTTTGAGACGGAGTCTAACTCTGTCATCCAGGCTGGAGTGCAGTAGTGCGATCTCGGCTCACTGCAAACTCCGCCTCCTGGATTCACGCCATTCTCCTGCCTCAGCCTCCCCAGTAGCTGGGACTACAGGTGCCCACCACCACGCCCAGCTAATTTTTTGTATTTTTTAGTAGAGACAGGGTTTCACCGTGTTAGCCAGGATGGTCTCAATCTCCTGACCTTGTGATCTGCCCACCTTGGCTTCCCAAAGTGCTGGGATTACAGGTGTGAGCCACCGCGCCCGGCCTTTTTTTTTTTTTTTTTTTTTTGAGCTAGAGTCTCACTCTGTCGCCCAGGCTGGAGTACAGTGGTGCAATCTCGGCTCACTGCAACCTCCACCTCCGAGGTTCAAGTGATTCTCCTGCCTCAGCCTCCTGAGTAGCTGGGACTACAGGCGCACACCACCACACCCGGCTAATTTTTGTATTTTTAGTAGAGACAGGGTTTCACCATGTTGGTTAGGCTGGTCTTGAACTCATGACCTCAAGCAATCCACCTGCCTCAGCCTCCCAAAGTGCTGGGATTACAGGTGTGAGCCACCTGTAATCCAGCCTGGTGTCAGGATTAAATGAACCCTTAGCATAATACCTGGTACAGAGGAAGAACTTAATGAATGTTGGAATTTATTTATTTATTTATTAGATGAATAATAATAGCTCTTCTTAATGGGCTGAGCATTTACTGTCAGGCATTGTGCTGACAGGTTTACAAGCATTACCTCATTTCAGTCTGTTAACGGTATGAATCGTCCCTTTTACAGGTGGGAAAACTGAGGCTCTGAGTGAGATGGGAACAAACGATGGACATAATCTACCATTAGATGCTCAATATTGTTATTATTTATCTTGCAGCCCATAAAGATAATAATGCGATCCATATTTATTAACCTAGAAGGATGTCTGTTAAGAGAGGGCTAAGCTACAGAGTAATATGAACAGTATGATCCCATTTTGCTTATCAAAAGGCATCACTAAAATGTCATCATTAAATGATCATCTCTGAAACCAAACACCGCATGTTCTCACTCATAGGTGGGAATTGAACAATGAGATCACTTGGACACAGGAAGGGGAACATCACACACCGGGGCCTATTGTGGCGGGGGGCGGGGGGAAGGATAGCATTAGGAGATATACCTAATGTAAATAACGAGTTAATGGGTGCAGCACACCAACATGGCACATGTATACATACGTAACAAACCTACACGTTGTGCACATGTACCCTAGAACTTAAAGTATAATAATAATAAAAAAAGATCATCTCTGATTAGTGGGATTATGGGTGACTTTCGTTTTTCCCCTTTTACTTTTTTTAGTATTTTATGATTTTCCTCCAGTGGGCTTATGAGCCTGTGTTATTTGTGTAATTAAAATTACATTTTGAAGATTTAAAAAATTGTGAAGAACGCTATCCCTGCGAATGTTTTAGATTTTTTCTGCAGGTTGTTTTAAAGGAAAAACAAAACCAAAAAAAGCACCTCCTGCTCTGACCACCCCTATTTCCAGTTTTCCCTTTTGGCACAGCAAAGATGACCTTGGGACTGAGGTGGAACCATGTAATTCTTCATAATCCCAGAGTCAGGCAGACCTGAGTATGAATTCCATCCTTACTAACTGCGTGACTCACTGTGTGGCCACGCCAAGTTACGAGGTCTCTCTGTTTCCTCCTTCCTAAAAAGGAGATAACATCTATCTCGAAGGAAGATCTGGCCTGAAGAGCAGTCACTCTTGCCTGGCATGCAGAGAATGCCAAATCATATCAATGACTGGCCAGAATGAAGTGAATGACCTCATCACTCCATAACTGACAGGAAACAACTGCTGGGGCAAGAAAAAAGGGTCTCCAGTGAGTGTTCTTGTCCACACACATCCCCACTCACGTTCCTGGACTACTGCATCTAACTGCGGCAGCAGCTGATGAACCTTCTGGAATAAATGACCAGTTTCTGCCGGGTGTGGTGGCTCAGGCCTGTAATCCCAGCACTTTGGGAGGCCGAGACGGGTGGATCACGAGCTCAGGAGATCGAGACCATCCTGGCTAACACGGTGAAACCCTGTCTCTACTAAAAATACAAAAAAAATTAGCGGGGTGTGGTGGCGGGCGCCTGTAGTCCCAGCTACTTGGGAGGCTGAGGCAGGAGAATGGCGTGAATCCGGGAGGCGGAGCTTGCAGTGAGCTGAGATCGCACCACCGCACTCCAGCCTGGGCGACAGAGCAAGACACCGTCTCAAAAAACAAAACAAAACAAAACAAAACAAAACAAAAAAAAGTTTCTTAAGAAGGGATTCAGACTTCCAGTGGCCTGCCACATTGTTTCTGGCAAGAACTTAAAAATTATTTGTAACATATAGTAACAAAAACTAACCACAGGCTGGGTGACATGGCTCACGCCTGTAATCCCAGCACTTAGGGAGGCTGAGGTGGGCGGATCACCTGAGGTCAGGAGTCCGAGACCAGCCTGACCAATATGGTGAAACCTCGTTTCTCCTAAAAATACAAAAATTAGCTGGGCGTGGTGGTGCATGCCTGAAATCCTAGCTATTCAGGAGGCTGAGACAGGAGAACTGCTTGAATCTGGGAGGCGGATGTTGCCGTGAGCCGGTATCGTGCCATTGCACTCCAGCCTGGGCGACAAGAGCGAGACTCCATCTCAAAAAACAAACAAACAAAAAAGACTAACCACAGCTACTATTTATGAACCCTAGTGCCACACCCCTTTTCTTCCCAGGTTTCACCCACCCCAGCCAGTGTTGGCTGCAACACTTCAGCTTCTCTCCTCATGAAGCACGTCTCCAGAGACACCTCTTCTGCAACACCTTCCCGCGGAAGCCATTTCTGCC